CACTGATACCAAATTACAGCCCCTGTGTCGACTTTTCTGTTTTTGTCTTGCACTTCACGGGAGGCATCAGTAGTGGAGTTGTTCATGTTTATTAAGGTTTCAGCTACACGATTTATCCATCTCTTTCTTTGTCTCCACCTCACATTCTCACATGTGTTCTTCCGTAAAAAGTATGATTTGCTGCTTGGTCCAGCTGCATTATCACTAGACGCCGAACTAGTTCATTCTGTGTCTGTCCAAATAATTCAGACACCGTCTTATTCAAACATTCCCTCTAAAGCCGGTTTCTGTAGTTCTGTCCTTTGTTGTGCTGTCAGTGACTTTATAGAGAAAGCTCATCTCACAGGTGGTAATTTCTAGTAAAGTACCATATTCAGCACGTGTATGATTCGTATACAAAAAAGGATTCCTATCTGTATACAGCATAATTTCATCACATAGAAAGGTAAAGCTTTTTATACACTTTTTTGGGCCACTGACGAGCTGGTTTATCCTGGTTTATCCACATAAGAGTGTCAACGCTGAATTATATATAAAAGTCATGTCGTACCTTCATGATTATGTGCATTTACATTGCCCTGATATGTCACGGACAGCCTTCTGGCTTTTGCAACAACACAGGTACAATTTGGCGAATAACTGCATTTCATTTTTCCCAATTTCAACATAGTCTCTAGATACTGTTCAATATAACTTTCTGTTCACATTATTAGGGAAAGTTGAGAGTCTATGCATTGATTACAATGAAGTGATTCTAACAAGCGAGGCAAGACAAGTAAGGACTTTACCGATAGAGCTAACAAATGTGTTACCGAAATTGCCTGTATGTTCTAAGGGTTAAAAAAAAAAAATGGTATGACATAAGAAGATGAAACTCACAAGTGTACGTCTACCAACTTACTCAAAAACGTAAAATCCCACAACCTGAATATAAATATGTGCATGTACTCTTTCAGCATGTGGCATTGGAACGTTTGGTAGGAATTGCAACTCATTGTGCAGCCAGAGCTGTGTCCCATCGGGTAACGCAACAATATCCCCGTGCAACGGCACCACGGGAGCTTGTATCGTGGGCTGTAGGAGTGGTTTAGCTGGAATCAGATGTGAATACAGCGGTATGCCGACGTTTTGTCTATCTTGTGTGTGATTTGTCTAATTATTGTTTATTAAACAGGTCGATTGCCGCTCGCCAATTTCACTATAAAGGGGTGTAGCTATCTACTGTGTTGATTGTAACGGCAAGGTGAGGTTTAGACCCAAGAGTCTATGAAATAAATTTATCACCACTGACTTTTTTCTAATCCACCACTCTTTATCCACTCACCACCATATACAGACGTTGAAACAATTATCATTCATAGATCAAGACATATCATCTTACATTGTGCTGTTCAAGAATGAATAATTAGGAAATGTGTTTATTTGACGATGTTGACACATGTACACTTAGCTTCTACTTTCACCCGCTGACTTATGTCTACAGTGGTGCGGTGAGATCACTGTGTCTTCTCTATGAACGCCTGATTCTGGGCGGTTTTATAGTTAAACCTGATACCTAATGTTCTGATAAAGACTTAGTGAAAAGGTGCGCATTTAGAGCAAAGAACGGTTTTCTTCTTCTTCTTCTTTTGGCGTCTCACTGATGTCAGGTTGTAGCCCAGTGTCATTGTGTTTTGTATTTGTCTTACGAGTCACCGGTCGCGTGGGTGATGGATTTGTTCACCTCTTTGCATGTTTCAGCTAGGCCATTTAGCCATCTCTTTCTTGATCTTCCTTCCTCCCTAAGGGAAAGGCAAAGATATTAAGAATAAATCATGCAAATAGTAATGCGATTCCTCTTAATGATATCCCACTTCCAAACGTGGAGTCGCACACCTGTCTGGGCATTAAAGTAGATAAAGATAGGCGAACTAACAGAGATATTACAATACGAATACAGAAGGCAACATAAGCTTTCATAGCAAAAGTAATTTTGTTGAAGGTCCAAAGAAATTTAAACTTACAATTTTTAATTCAAATGTCAAATCGGCATTGCAGTGGGTAGCATAAGCATAGAGAACAACAAAGGAAAATTACTAATAAACTACACAGATTCATTACCTTTTTAACAGTTGCGTATCATTTACATGATCTTGCCGAACCAACGTCAGCATATTTTTTATTGTTCTTGTTTTTCTAGACAAATTTACGTTTAGTAGTTTATTGTCATTGTTTCCTGAACGTCAACTTCTCGATACCAATGTTGAGACCAACGCAAGGCGCAAGGTCCGCGGCTGGGATCGAACCCGGCACCCCGTAATTACGAAGCGCGTTCGCAACGCCTAAGCCACTGACGCTTACGTTAACTGTTACCTGGGCAGAACTATGGGATTAAACGATATGATATGATCACTAATGATGAGCTTTGGAAAGGAACTACATAGGTTTCAGTTGTGATATGGGTGAAAAAATTAGCTGGCCTTGAAAAAGTCAGTGAACTATATAGTTTTTGCACTAGAACACACCGGGGCATAACAATAAAGAAGACAGGGAAACTGGAGAGTACAGTTAAAAAGACAAATTTGTAGTGGGTGGGGGGGAGGGGTGGCTGGGGGGGGGGGGGGCATGCAGAGAGCTGCTTAAAATAACAAAGTATAGAACGACATAGCATGAGTTTTTTTTTAGAGTCCCTGCCCCAGTAGGGTATTGAAGTCAAAAGAAAGTTTTTCTCAAGGACCAGATTTACAAAGTCTCTGATGTCTAGGAAACGTTTTGGGGAAAATAGAGTTGCAAAGTTCATTAAACATCGTGTATGGTGAACTAGAGTTAGGGGGAAGCTTTCTGTGCCGGTCTCTACTTCTGTTGAGAAAATATGATTTATGCGACAAACTTAGTCAATAGAGATAGTGAAAGAAAAGCGTGGGAACAAATTACTTTTGTTTAACAGAAAAGGGGAAGATCGGGAGCAAAATGCAATGGAATGGGAGACATACTTACACAATTATTAGGGTGAAACAGTGATGGCGTAGGGGCTAGCCGCACCGCCTACTGGCTAGAAAGTGGTGGGCTCAGACACACATCTAATTGGATTATTATTACATTTGCTCCCAGGTCGACCTAAACTAAACTGGGCACAAGTGGCAGCAAAACAGCACATACCTGTCTTCGATTTCCGGTGGGAATGGGGTGGAAATCAGGCAGTGGGTGGTCAGGGAGGCAGGCAGGCAGCAAGGCAGGCAGGCAGCCAAGCAGCCAGACAGACAGATAGACAGGCAGACAGACAGACAGAGGCAGACACATACGGACAGACACAGACAGACACAGACAGACAGACACATGCAGAGAGACACAGACAGAGAGAAACATGCAGACAGACACAGACAGGCAGACGCAGACAGACGTAGACAGACAGAGACAGACAGAGACAGACAGAGACAGACAGAGACAGACAAAGACAGACACACAGACATGCAGACAGACAAACATGCAGACAGACAAACAGACAAACAGACAAACAGACAGACAGACAGACAGACAGACAGAAGACAGACATACAGAAAGACAGAGACGGACAGACAGAGACAGTCAGACAGAGACAGACATAGACAGACAGAGACAGACAGAGACAGAAAGACAGAGACAGACAGAGACAGACAGACATACACAGACAGACACAGAAACACACAGACAGATACAGACAGACACAGACCAACAGACAGACATAGACACAGACAGACACATAAAGACAGATAGACACAGACAGACAGACACAGACAGACACAGACAGACAGACACAGACAGACAGACAGACACAGAGAGACAGACACAGACAGACACAGACATGCAGACAGAAAAACAGACAGACAGACAGACAGAAAAACAGACAGACAGACAGAAGCCATAAAGACAGACAGAGACAGATAGACAGAGACAGACAGAGACAGACAGAGACAGAGACAGACAGACACATACAGACATAGACAGACACAGACAGACAGACACAGACAGACAGACACAGACAGACAGACACAGACAGACAGACACAGACAGACAGAAACAGACAGACAGACACAGACAGACAGACACAGACAGACAGACACAGACAGACACAGACATACATACAGACATACGGACACAGACACACAGACAGACACAGACAGACAGACAGAGACACAGACAGACACAGACAGACAGACAGACAGACAGACAGACAGACAGACAGACAGACAGACAGACAGACAGACAGACAGACAGACAGACAGACAGACAGACAGACAGACAGACAGACAGACAGACAGACAGACAGACAGACAGACAGACAGACAGACAGACAGACAGACAGACAGACAGACAGACAGACAGACAGCTGAAACACATTGTTGCAACGGCGCCTTCTCTATGACAACCAGCAGCATGACCATTGGTGGTGATGACAGTAACGCAAGTGTTCGTGTGGCTCAAAACACAAAATTACACCTGCGCATGTGTTCTTAGAATTACAATGAGTATGACCTTGACGTTTCAGGCAGGTTCGATGCGAAGGCCGTGGGTTGAAGCATTGCAAAAGTCCACTGTGATTAGAGTCACCTTCATTTTCCTTCCGGGACACGCAGGCGTCGATTATAATATCAGTAACAACGGGCAACCATGTTGACATTATTAATGCCCCCCGAGAATAGGGAGGGGGGTGAGAACTTTCGGTACAGTGAATCAACGTAACTCGCCAGAATGATAGACTTAGGAGTTAAGATTGGCGTAGCATCAACAACAACAACAAAAGCGAGACGCACACCAGGCACATCAGAGGACTTTTAGTCAACAGAACTTGTACTATTAGCCCCCGGACGCTGGGGCTTATACTGAGTTGAGGAACTGAGCACCTATAGAAATGTCCTGAGTTCAATGATGATAACCCCTCTAACTAACCAATTTGTTGCATGAAAAATTGCTGAAATTATGTTTCGATTACCAGTTAATTGTTGATTTTTTCATAACTTCCGTTTTGTTTCCTTATATCGCAGTAAGAGAAGCCCCAAAGCACCTTGCATTCATCCTTGGTGGCCTTTCCTTTGTAATCGCAGTCGGATTATTAATTGCCTGCCTTTCTTGGAAGAGAATAAAGACAAAGCCCGTGGAAGAACGGACAGTTGTTTCTCGTCAGCCAGACAGCAAAGACGCAGCACAGTATGCGGGTACGTCATCTACCCAACAGATGATGCACTGAAGTTTACAAACTTTGTTTAGTTATATGGTGATGTTGTTTGTATGCAGATCTTCACCGGTAAATCATTAGAAGCCCTAAACATTATCCTTATATGCAAATATAGGAAAAGATGTTGATGCCTGTGTGATAGCTAGTCTAGTAAAAAGCACATTTCAATAGATAGTCATGGATAGAAAACGATTTGTTGGGGACGGGATCATTGTCATCATCATGTCGCAGGTTTGTTGAAAGCCGCTCTTATCACAGAATGCCTGAAAAAAAAAAAAACTTGATCTCTCGCCAGCTCTCCCCCCTCGTGTACTTTCAGATTCATTCAAGGAGTCACTTATAACTTGTGTCCATCTTCGGTTTTATCTACCCTTACCCCTTCTTTCTAGTACAATGACTTCTACCGCTTTTTTACCCGTCTGCAAAAGCGCTCCATTTAACCAAAATATATCAGCTTTCGAGTCAAGATATGGTTTATTAGCCAATCTTTCTTAAGATTTAGATCTTTTAAAATATAAATATTTAGAAACAAAGAATGCAAGATCTGACAATTAAGTAATGAAATTATTACGACTAAGACAAAACTGCCATATAGTAATCACAGCATGGAATCCGAATAGACCATCTTCGTCTATAATCTGAAACTTTTCATCGCCGCCAGATAAGCAGACAACATACAAGACGCTATTTTGTTTACCTAGTCAGCGGTACACTGTTACGTAATCAGCATGGAGCAAAACAGCTATAGGACAATGCACCGGCTCAAAGGGCCGTAGTTGTACAGGAATTTGTTGCCCAAAAACAGGTACGTGTTCTCAACCATCCACCCTATTCCCCGGATTTTTCTCTGTGTGACTATTTTCTATTCCCAAAATTAAAGCTGCCATTGAAAGAACGCTTCTATGATAATATTGATGACATCCAAAAGGCCGTAACATTTACTTTATGGGCCATATTAACAGAAGAACTACAGAGGTCGTTCCAGCATTTGTTAGATCGTGCCACCTGCCGTATCAATGCACATGGGGCTTACTTTGAATAAAATACAGGTTTCATTTTCAACTGTTGATTTAAAAAAAAAAATCAAATTAGTCTCATTATTTAATTGTCTGACCTTGTACAAGCAGATTTATAAGCTTATGACAGCAAAATATATTCAAGATAGAAGAAGAAGAGTCTGTAGATGGATGTCACAACCTCAAGATCAAAAAGTGTTGTTTAGCTACTTCATTTTTTTAACTACGCACCAAATGACCGTGATTTAAAGGGCTCGCGCATACCAGAAACAAGCTATCATCTAAAATGCCCTTTCCATAAAGTGCCCTTCAGCAAACTAGGTAACATACCAATCATGGGCAAATCAGCGTAAAGTAGTTGCAGAGGATGATCTTACGCGTGTGCGCAGTCTAAGAGACATGCACCCCACCCTAACCGACCCCTCCTCCAACCATTTCCCAATAGGAAGTGGATGTCAGTGCCCCAGGCGCTCAGCTGCAATGCTTGATATGATGTGTAGAAAGCAGAATCCTATCGTCGCCAATGCAGAGCTTATCAGTATCAATTTAAAGGACGCCGATAGGCTGATCCCTATGTACGCGTTCGCTGTCAGTGCATGGGCGTTCACATCACGCCCTGAAAGCAGAACAGTCCAGAAAGCTAGTGGTGCCCTCTCTATGACTAAGGAGCAAAACAACGGAAGTGATGGCCGCGACCCAAGCTTTCCTGCCGCTGGAATCACAGTGCTATTTGCAAATGTGTATTTGGGGAGTGTTTATGTGTGTAGTGATTCGTTGAGCATAATTGGTTGGACAAGACAAGCTTTGTACCTAGGGAGCGGACTGAGTCACCGCTCATTGAATCTATGCGATCAAGATGTTCTCCAGGTAAGGCTTACATGATCTAGTGTAGACTAGCATTCATGCTTTTGTACTGGATCCCCAGTATGTTCCATCCATATTTTGTTTTCAGTACAGCATGTCTTTGTACATATTGTATGTACACGGGGGGAAGTACCTCACGCTTGCCAAGTATGTAAAGGATTTGTATATAAATGTCTGTCCTCCAACAAACACACATCGTCCAATCTATCCAAAAACCATGGCGGCTAATTCTTCTTGGCAAGGCATATACTGATGGTTAACATAACTGGAGTAAAGCATGACCACTTAAACAAAAGCACGACTATAAGCCAACGAAGTTCAACAAGTTAACGTGTCCTTTTGTAACCAATAACGAATATTGTAATTTGATACTACCTCATTACAACTCAATACCGGCCAATTCACACAAAATACCATGGCACCTTGCGAAGCGTTTAATTAAGGACAATCTCTCAACCAGCGTTCAACATATCCACATTGAGCGCACAATCCTCAGTTCTAGAAAATCACTTTGACAGCATAAAGAGGTCCAACTTATGGACCACCGCAGTCATCCGGACAGTTTACGAGCTGCTACAGAATAAAATAAAACCACATTGTTAAAATTACCACACAATACAGTCCATACGTTCACAATGCGCCCACACATCCACATACAGTTGACGAAATGAGAGCTGACTGTCTAGCACAAACTGCCATGGGACTTTTCCCACCTGCGTTTAAGTCGGGGCTGATGGTCTTTAAACTCGACCTAGTACACGAGTATTGCGTGCACATAGGTTTTAGATATCTGGCTTAATATTATGTAGAATTTTATTACATTAATACAAATAATGTTTGCTTGTTAAATTGTGGTGGGAAAGGGGGGGGGGGGTGCGTGAGGGGGGGGGAAACTATTAGTATACTATTAAAAACTTCCCTTCATATCCGACGCAATATTTTTTTTTATTTTAAAGCCTGTATGGCTGTTGTCAGCGGTCCTGATAAAACCTAAAATTGTGAAAGGGGTGTCTGGGACTTATGCCTTAGAGATTATCATCAGAATGTTGACACTATGTGTCACCCGATATTTATCTCCAGTTGTGCGGTCCTGGTGGGTGGAATGTCTAGTCTAGGTCAGTATTATACAAAAAAAGAATTGTTATTACATTCTCAATAATTTAATATCCCAACACACTTTAATAGGTAAACAATAAAAGAGTGGTAAATACTGAATACACAAAGGAGATGAATGGTTGTAGATCACGAGGGAGACCTAGAAGACTATAGAGAGATAACGTCTAGACAGACCTTCAAACACTTGGTGTCACTAACTAAAAACATTTTTTTTTTTTTCAAAACAGCCTAACTAGAGAGATAAGTGGAGGCAGGTGATATCGACAGCAATAAATCTCAAGGGCTCGAAACGCCGGAGAAAAAGAGTAAGAAGAAGAAAAAGGATAAGAAAAGTTTATGTTCAAGAACGCGTTTGAAAAATGGACATTTGAACCCACTGCGTAACATTATTTAGTCGCTTTTTCAGCTCTCTTTGTTTCTCGTATTCAATCGATGACGTGTATTTTGTCACAGTCAAGCTGTAATAAGCAAACACGAAAGGACTCCGATTGCCTCAATGCCTTGTCTCCATAGCATCGGTATCCAGGTGACAATGTTTTAACCATTCCATCACTGATAGATCCATCGTTTGACGTACAGAAATCCAGGGGAATATCCCGAAAGTTCTTCTGCTTCTTCTTCGTCTTTTTCTCCTTTTTGTTCTTCTTCTTCTTCTTTTGCTCGCTTGGAATACATTATCTTCATCTCCAAATGTTTCAAGTATACACTTCCCTGTCTTGTAATTTACTAAGCGACCAGTAAAGATCAGCTTGCATTGGTGTTTTTCTTGGCCAGAAAGAAGTTTCGCCTTGATATGTTGTTATTTGGGACAGTCTTGGATGACGTTATCCGCTGGCTTAGTTTTCAGCCCGCATGTGCCAATGTTTGATTCGCCAATCTCAGACTGTGTGTACTCGTAAATGCGAAGTCGATTGCGTCCTGTTCTAAGTGGTAGAATAATGATCGGCTCTGGTCTGAAAGTGAAATTTCAGAGACAAATGCAGCCAAGATACATATACGTCAGAAAGAGAGTTTCTACAAGTACATTCTATGTATCTTGAAAACTAGATTTAGAAAACTATTCTCATTGAAAAGAATAATGAACACTGAACATAAAACACACAATTTCAGTCTATAAGCTAGTTACGTATCCTTTACAGGACGTTGCAGAATCAACCGCAGCATTTTATAGCTGTTGTGGTTTTACCAGGCAAATTGTAATTTCTGTAGATTGCCAATGCTTTCTCAACGGTCAGCTCTTGGTTCCACTGTCGAAACCAGCGCAAGACAAATTTTCCGCAGCAGGAATCGAACCCAGCACCTCGGCATTACGAAGCGCGTTCGTAACGCCTAAGCCATAGACGCCGACTTAGTTTATTTGCACATTATTATTGTCTCTAATGTAAACAAAAAAAAAAAATTATGTGCTGTACTACATCAGTTACTGTGAATGTTTATCTAACACAAACAATCTAGTTATTTAATAAACTAAAAAAAAAAAAAAAAAATGTGCGGTTGTAAGTTAAGATTGTGGTAGTCGAAAAGCACGTCTACATTTGGCAATATCTGACCACGTACGGTTTCTGTCTTGGGGCAGGCAATACCAAGCTTTACAGAAGGCAAATCTGCATAAATAACAGCACAAGATAATGAAGAGTAACCACTGCAAGACTTTAGTGGCTATGGGTTTTTGAGGCAAGCTACAGATTTTATGTTAACACAGTTTTCATCTTCTCAATATCATCATCATTGTCCTGTAACACTTCGTGTCGTTGGGTCACCGGATGCTGTTGACAGACTAATCAGCTCCCTCAATTTTTGAAAGTGGACTTCTAGTTGCCTCGCTCGCTAAAGCCTGTCCAGTCAGTAAAGGTCGGTGCCAAGGGCTTTCTTGGTCTACCTTTTCTTGCCTTCCCCCACCATCATACAATTGCAACTGAGCCATGTAGTATAGTTTTTGAGCGACCACAACCGCAACTTAGCCATGCAGTTTTTGAGAGGCCTT